ACAGGGAAGATGGTTTCCCAGTACCACCAGTTTGGGATCCAGTATTTCCTCTAATGAAAAATCCCAAACAGACATAAGACTGCAGTATTAATTAATATGTTTTAGTTTATTCTAATTTCTATTATTAATTAATAATAAATTGAAGTTAATAAAAATTCGTTCAATAAAATAATTTGTAAAACTTAATGTAGCGTAAATTGGAATGTTTTCTTTGTAAAATTAAAAATAAGGTGTTTAATTAATAACTATTGTAACTATAGTGAAAAAATAGGGTGGTTTGCATCAATATTAGACATAACTGGTTGAAGACTGTACCACCTCAGTCAACCGTGACCATTGGACCTGTAAAGGGCCCGAAACGTCGGTTTGTTTGAAAAAACAAATATACACGATTTAAATCCGGAAAAATAGTTTCATTTCCAATCTCATATTTACTAATATGGTAACCTATTTAGAAATAAATATTTTCGTTTTACTAATATTTAAAAATAGAGTTACCTAAATATTAACAAGTCTTTTAAAAAACATGGTTTCAGATACCATATTTGCACTATTTAAAAAAAAATTAAATTAAAATAGTAATTACCATTTTAAATTTTCTATATTTAGGAGAGTGTACATAAATAAGTCAAGTACAACGTAAACTATTTTGTTTTATAATTATTTTTAAATGCAACTCAATATTCTCCCTTTTTTACAAAATTGATGGACATATCAATCTTTAATCAACGTTTTCCAAAAATTAGTTTTTTTTTAGTTAGGTCACTATAATTCTGAAGGTGCGTATGGCACATCCATCTGAACCTTGTATCTGGTGTGTTAAGTATGACTGTTTGTTGAGATTTTGTGATTTTCTTAACATTCTTTACAGAAATAAGACAACAGTGAAAAGTAATATGCAAAAGCTTCTTTTAACAATATTTAAATTTAAAGAAATAGAAGAGTGAGACATTTTTGATACAAAAGTGTAAACAGGAGTATTTGCAAGAAGTGTCCAAAATCATTGGTTGGTACGGCACAGTAATTTTTATCATTTGAAGAGAAAGTTGTATTATAGAGAATTTGTAATGTTCTTTGGTCTTTACAGCATATTATTACTATTATTAGGGTTCATTTGGGGCCTATGCTAGCCCCTCAGTACTGCGACCATCAACTGATCTATTGTGATCACCATTAATTACAGTTCAGAGCCAAGGCCAAGTATAGCATTAAAGAACTGAATGGTTTTCCAGCCTCTGACAGTTTTTGTCTCCTCTGGTTGTGGCCTGTGCCTTTCGTCTTTACAGCATAACCAAAGACAGCAGAATGCTGTCAGCATTGTGCCAGCCTCCTGTGGTTAAAAAATACTACTAAAATATATACTGTGGTTTAAAATTACTAACGTTGCTATGTAATAAAATTGCATAATCTGTTTATGTTTTTTCACATTAGCCCTCAATCATCTGTACAAATGTAGTAGGTACCAAAAGACTCCAAGTTTTTTCAAGCACATGCCATCTTGACATATAGGTACACATACAGGTTGTCCCAAAAATAACACGCCAGAGCGACACTGTGGGTAGGTGAGCTATATATACCTACCAGAAGAAATAATTTGACTTTAGTAAAAGTCTTTTAGTTTTCAAAATATTTGCACTTTTTTTTTTGGAATAACTCTACTTTTTGTTGAGTTTTTTGCTACTATTGCCAGGGTTAGCTCCAGATGGTAGTTGTTTTTATTTTTCAGGTAACCTGAATAGTTTTTCCAGGTACTGCAACTAATATTTTATCTGATAAATGTCATAAAATGTGAAAAAAGTTATTAATTTGGTATACCTCGTACCCTTGTAAAAAGTAAAACGTTAACTTTGAATAGCTAGTGTGAAAAAAAATGTATGAAACTGAATTTGCAAATGATCTTAAAAATTGCTCCACTTAATGCAGAAGCCGGAATGGTACAATATTATTGAGATTTTTCACAAGAACATAGTCATTTAATTTATTTTTCCTCATAACACCCTACCAGCCTAATCAGTTTCTAAACAAAATTAAATTTAAACTTTTAAATGAATTAATTGCTAAGCGCTAGGTAACGGCGCATCAATCTTTTTCCCACGTTGTATTCGTAATAAAGGAGTGAGATAGTTACTAGGCTTTTCTTTCTCTCTCTGAACTGGAACAAACAAACTGTGACAAATCAAACTTCCCAAAAGCATGCGGATTTAGCTACTAATATCGTGGTAGAGTGCCTTTGTGTGTCGCTTGGTTTGGCGCCGTTTTTAATTAATGGGAAATAAAACAATAAAATTTAAATAATTTAATTTTTATTAGATATTATAGCAAGTGTTCAAACTGCCTCCCTCTGACTCTAATGCACATGCGACATCTTTTGACGAACGAGCTTCTCAGACGCCTCAAACTCATTTGAGAAATTTCTCGAGCTGCTTCATAGACTCGTCGTCGTAGTTCGGTTTCTGTAGTGATAGCTTTGGAGTAAAGTTTATCTTTTAAGCACCCCCAATAGAAGAAGTCGAGCGGGTTCAGATCAGGTGATCTCGGTGGCCACAAAATTGGTCCCAATCGGCCAATCCATCTTCATGGGAACGTCTGGTCGAGGTGCGTTCGGACGTCGCGAGCGTAGTGGGCTGGACACCCATCATTTTGAAACCACATTCTTCTTAGTAATGCTATTGGCACATCTTCGAAAAGGTTTGGCAAATGGTTTTGTAAAAACTCGAAATAATTTTCGCCATTTAGAGTCGGAGGCAATTCAACTGGACCAAATATTTCCCCATTGAAAATTCCGGTCCATAAATTAATTTTAAACTGGTGTTGGGACCGATCTTCTCTTCTCTCGTGCGGGTTCTCTAACTGCCAGCTATGGATATTGTGGAGGTTTACATAGCCATCTCTGCGACATGCTGATTCATCACTCCACAAAATCGTATTAAAAAAGTTGGGGTCTTCACTGTGCTTTTGAAGCATTTGTTGACATAACTGTACGCGTTTAGCGTAATCGCTCGGCAGTAAAGTTGAACTCTCTGAATATGGTATGGGTGGTATCGGTGCCTTTTTAAAATTCGCTGTGCCGTAGACTTTGAAATGCCAGTCCGTCTTTCTATCAGGCGAACTGAAGTGGACGGATCTCTTGACACTTCCTGCAGAACTATTTCGTCTGCGACGGTACGAGGTCTGCCTCCACCACGATGGCCAGGGTTCCTACCTTCTCTGTATGCAGCATCAACTCTTAATATGGTCTCATGGGTCGGTGGCCTACGGTTAGGAAATCTTACCGCATACAATCTTGCTGCTAATCTTGCATTCAACGATACGATGCCGCGAGCAGAAACACGTCTAGTTTCGCCGTAAATTAGGTACATGTCAGCGTAATCACTATGAGTGAATTCGGGGTTTGCTCCAGCGATATTCTGTTAAAACTATTCCCTGGAAAAACTATTCAGAATACTCGAAAAATAAAAATAACAACCATCTGGAGCTAACCATGGCAATAATAGCATAAAACCCAACAAAGAGTAGAGTTTTTGCAAAAAAATAAAAAAGGGCCTATATCTCGAAAACTAAAAGACTTTTACTAGGGTCAAAAAAATTTTTTTTTGGTAGGTATATAGCTCATCTACCCACAGTATCGCTCTGGCGTGTTATTTTTGGGACACCCTGTATAATTATATAAAGATGGAATTGGGCAATATATGCGGTATTAGCCTTAAAGACAGAATGTCGAACAGTTTAGTAAGAAAGTGTTGTGGTATAAAAGATGATGTAGTGACCAGGATAAAGAAGAGGATGCTGCGGTGGTTGGATTACGTAGAAAGGATGATTGTTGGTAGATTGAAGGCACAAATTTATAGAGCGAATGTGGATGGAGGCATGGGGATAGTTAGACCTCGGCGTACCTACATATCTCAATCAAATTGAGGACGTCCTTAAAAAAGGCCGGGTTAAAAGTACTAAGAATGAAGGACTATTCACATTAGACCGTACCGGGCGCGAGCCGAGTCACGTACGATGCTCGGATTGGAAATGCTGCGTACATTTTATATGAAGTGATTCACGTTAATACGTGCCGCGTCAGTGACACGGGCGAAGGACGCCCGTGCTGCTTCCGAGCTCGTTCGAGCCTCGGATGCGGCCAGGCCCGCCTCGGCTCATAGTAATGTGAACACTCCAGTGCGTCGTACGCGCCCCGTCCGATTGTGCGACTTTAAAGAGAGTGACAACATTCTTTTTTTAAAAATGGTAGATGAAAAATTAATTAAGCGCGTAAGAAGTGTTTATAATATGATATAACACAGTGCCTTAGGCACGTCTCGGATGCCTCAGACGCAGCTCGCGCCCAGCACGGTCTAATGTGAATATAAATATCCAGCACGCCCGAAGCTCGGATGTCTCTGACACGGCTCGCTCCCGGCACGGTCTAATGTGAATCATCCTTAAACGGGCATATATAAAGAAATAGATGAAAGTGGAGGAAGCAAAGAAGGTGTGTCAGGAGCGTAACAGGTGGAGGTCCATAGTCTTTGTCTACCCCGGTAGGAGACAGACGTGATGATATGTATGTATATGGAATTGGTTATACATTTATTGTTAACTCGGCATTCATCCGATCGATGTTAGATAGACAGAATAGTGTAGAATGGTTAAGTCGTGGCTACATATTTCCTTCCTATGGTCGAAGATTAACTAAACTTGTTTTCATTCAAAATATCAAAGACATGTTCAATAGATACGGGAAAATCTTAATACCGTGGCTCAGGAATGTCACGTAATTTAGGTCTAAGCTAAGCTGTTTAGCAACAAACTGAACTTAGTCTTAGTGTTGAAATAATAATTCTGTATTGGAATAAGAAAATAAAGCTATAGTGATACTGTAATCGAAATTGTTTTTTCTTTACACATTAACCGCCTTTTTTCAGTTTCATCTTTCATTAGCTAAATTCCACTAATAATTATGTAAGTATATAGTACTTACAATTGTTCCGTAAATTGCTTTTAATTTTCAGGATAGTAATAATCTAACATGGCACACGGAAAATCCAGATCTAACGCCGTGCGTCGAGAAAACCATCCTGGTATGGATGCCGTGCATCTACCTCTGGGTAGCTTCCCTGCTCGAAGCCTATTACATCTTCAACAGCAAGGAGCGAAACATCCCGTGGAACATTCTCAATGTCAGCAAATTAAGCGTCACTTGCCTTTTAATAGTATTACAGTTCGTAGATATGAGCGTAAGCGTCCATAGATCATCACAAGAAGTGCCCAATAATGATTATTACTGCCCTGTCATCAAATTGCTGACATTCGTAAGTATTTAACATTTCGATTTTCAAAATTACTCATTCTAATTACTATTTCCAAGGACTTTGGTTATCATATGTGCTAGAAAATAAAACCATCGATACTATGTATCGATGGATAAAACAGATAATCTCCTATCGGGTTGCGGCCGTTGCGATAACTGTCGCCGAGCGTATCGACTCGTACATTTGACACACGTTTTCTTTGATATTTTATAACTATACAGTGTGTTAGGGCACGCACTGTACAAACTTTAAGGGGGTGTTTAGTATTCAATATTATGTGAAAAACACTAATACATGTGGGGTCAAAACTCAACTCCCTAGGAATGGCAGCCATTTTGATTTTTTATACTTAGTTTGCTAAACGTTTGTTCTAAAATTATCATATTATGAGAAGTAAAAGCAGTACGAACATAAAAAATATTTTTTCGGAAAGCTAAGATTAGCGGCAATTGAATAAAATATCTGTCATGTACATAAAAAAGTGAGGGATTGCCTAATAAAAATAATGAATGTAAATTTTTACCAAAAACAACTGCCAAAAAAACTAAGTTTTTGTAATTTAATCCTAAAATAACCAAATTAAGGTACTGTTTTTATGTATGAATTTTAAAGTATTTCAGCTGTTCTTAAAAACACGACAAAAATCATAATTCTATGTTCACAATTCTAAAAGTTACAGCTTCTGCAACATAACGTCTCCGAGAGCGAAATAAGTAAATTTTACAGTCTTTCTAGTAAATTGTTTTGTGTTGAGATGTAGTAAGTTAATTTGAAATAAAAAACAGTAAAAAATATTAGATTATTTATTTTACAAAAAAAAAGAAACATAAATTATAAAAGGTGTTCAAAATGTAACCCCTATTTAGAAGGCAAGCTGTTGTCCGAATCCCCACCTGCTGCGTGGCCCGATATAAAATTTCGGGATTTGCACGAATTTCTTCAGCAGCTTCACGAATGCGCGCCGATAGCTCCTCTCTCGTATTCACTGGGTTAAAATAAACTTTTTATTTCATCCAACCCCAAAAAAAAAATCTAATGGAGTTAAATCCGGACTACGCGGAGGCCACGCAACAGTGCCGCCTCTTCCAATCCACAGTGGATAATTTTCATTCAAATGCTGTCTCACAGCTGTGGCGAAATGAGCCGGGGCTCCATCCAGCTGCACCCACATTCCTCGGAGACGTGCGATCGGCAATTCTGAGAGTAATTCCACAAACTCTGTCCTTAAAAATTCCAAAAATCTTGGGCCATTTAATCTTTCCGGCAACTCCACCAGTCCAACTAATTATTTATTAATAATACCAGCCCAAACGTTGACAGAAAACTCATGCTGGAATGAGGATGGTCTCACTGCATGAGGGTTTTCGGTAATCCACATATGTAAATTACGATAATTGGTTATCCCCGCTCTTTTAAACGAAGCTTCGTCGCTCCATAAAATCTTCTTTAAAAAGTTTGGCTGTTGCCGCACCTTTTCATTAATCCACGCACTAAAAACTGAACGTGCTGCATAGTCCGGATCACTAACATTCTGCACGCGTCGAAAATGGTAAAATGAATATCTGCAATATGCGCACTTGAATACTGCTGATTATTCATGACGAATCAACAATAAATTTCACTCCGAAAGCACTTTTAGTCAAGATTTGTTGTCTGAGTAGAGAGTAACAACTGACTGTTAATTGTTGAATGAAAAGAGTTAAGTACCCTTAGAACTTTTTTTCAATCAGCATTGTGCTTAGGGGCTTATCTTTTGTCCCTTTTACACTTGCAAGCTGGGCAGAGTGAGCCAGGTAATAAATGGTTGAACTCATCGCCATTGTTGTAACCGAGAGCGATCTTTTGTGTTGTTAAGATACTAAGTTCGAGTAGTAAAAACTTTTAGAATTGTAGACATACGATTATAATTTTGGTCTTGTTTTTAAGAACAGCTGAAATACTTTAAAATTCATACACAAAAACGGTACCTTAATTTGGTTACTTTAGGATTAAATTACAAAAACTTGGTTTTTTGGCAGTTTTTTTGGTAAAAATTTCCTTAATTTTTTTAGGCAATCCCCCACTTTTTTATGTACATGACAGATATTTTATTCAATTGCCGCTAATCTTAGCTTTCCGAAATATTTTTTATGTTCGTACTGCTTTTACTTCTCATAATATGATAATTTTAGAACAAACGTCTAGTAAACTAAGTAAAACAAATCAAAATGGCTGCCATTCCTAGGGGGTCGAGTTTTAACCCCACATGTATTAGTGTTTTTCACATATATTGAATACTAAACACCCCCTTAAAGTTTGTACAGTGCGTGCCCTAACACACTGTCTAACGTAATAACAGTGATCGGATTTGAGGGAGTTAATTTAGCTATACTCAAGAATAATGTGGACTTTCCCTTCTACAAATCCCGGAAACTCTCGGAACTGATTATATTTCAATATGAGTATTATTTATTGAAATTTTAGTAGGTATGTATATAATTTCCTATTAAGTTTTTGCTAAAAATTATTGCCTCACGAAATAATATTATTTTAGTTATGTTTCTATAGGCACTTACGTATAGTTAAATACTTATATCCATTGAGTCCAACTGCCTCCGTAGCCGAACGGTTACCATGCTGGACTGCCACGCAGAGGTCCCGGGTTCGATTCTAGAGCCAGGAGAAATATTTGTTTGGCCTACATTTATTTATATCGTGAGTTTGGGTGTAATTTGTGGTTGAATACCTGTGTGTGTGTCCATGACACCCGCGATATAGGGCTTCCCTAGTGCGGGGCTATGAGTGTGTGCGTTATTATGTTATTATTGAAAAATTAACGAGAAACCTATTTATATTTATGAAATGTTTAGAAATTAAACAGTATAAAAGGAAATTTTATTTGCATTGACGACGAAATGGGTATGTCTATACTAAGAAAACGTTCATACTTTAGGTAAATTAACTTCCTCAGTTCCGACCTCTGGTAATAACTTTCGTGGTATATTAATAAAAAAATTAAAAAATACTTATAACCTACATATAGTCCCACTGCTGGGCACAGGCCTCTCTCGCAATGAGGGCACTTGGGGTGTAGTTCTCACATGTACCTAATGCAGATTCGTCACACACGTCATTAGATTCCGTCGCAGATGTGCGCAGGTCTTATCACGATATTTCCTTACCGAAAAACTCCTGGTAAAATTCAAATTAAATATATATTAAACATTAATTATTGTTTAATATCAAGAATTGAATAAATTGAGAATTGTGATTGCAAAGTTGGAAAATTAATTCAAATTGGTACCTACTTGCCTTTTGTAAACACATACTAGTAAACTAGAAAAGTGAATACCTACTAAACATTGAAGTTAAGCGTTTCTACATGTTCATAGATATACCTATAATAGTTAATAAAGCTGTAACATAACTTAATGAGCTGCATCATTCGCAGCTATCTACAAAAACACAAGTCTGAGATATTATAAAATACATGGTTATTTTTAAAAGTTTGACACCCCAGAAGAGCGGAATGTGCATTTTTGACATGTGTAGGACTTAACCTGCCCAATGGACCCCAAACTCGTCCACGGTTTAACGCTGATTGTAGTTGTGCTGAAGCACATAAACAGTCCGCGTACCAAGCTTGGGCAGATGCTCGACTGAACATAGCTCCGAGTACTCGGAATTTGAAGAAAGCTTTTAATAAGGCCGCCAAGAAGTGCAAAAGCGTGTTATGTATGGCAAGCTTGCCTCTTATCCAGCACGCAGCAAATCCTGTTGGTCCCTGGCCAAAGCGGTCGAATCTAACTTTAGTCGCCCATCTTTGCCACCTCTGCTAAGACCGGATGACTCGCTGGCTCATACTGCGGAAGAGAAGGCGAATCTTTTTGCCTCACTCTTTGCATAGAGTTCGCGTCTGGATGCCGCAGGGAACCTACCACCTACCTTACCTCCGGCAGTGTTGGGCAAAATTTAATTGTCCTGGCAATTAAAGATTAACAATTAATTAATTGTCAATTGCGAAACAGCAATTAACGATTGGTCAATTTATAATTTATAATTAACAATTGGACAAGCGGTTCTCGCAACTAACAATTGATCAATCGTTAATCGCGTATATCTACAATTAACAAATAATCAATTTTCAATCGTTACAATGTTTTTGATTAACAATTAAAACTGACAATTATGATAAATTTATAGGGCATATGGGGGTGACTTAGGGCGTGGATTAGGATTTGGGTTGGGAGGGGTTAGGGTTTGGGTTGGGAGGGGTTAGGATTTGGGTTGGGGTGGTTAGGGTTTAGGTTGGGGGTTAGGGGTGAGTTAGGGCCTGGGTTAGGATTTGGATTGGGGGAGTTAGGGGTGGGTGGGGCCGGTTGGGGGGCCGGTCACAAACCCCCAACCGGGCCCCCAACCGGCTCCCGAACCGGACCCCAACCGGACCCCCAACCGGCCCCCCAACCGGCCCCCCAACCAAATTTAATTGCAATTGATTTCAATTGAATTGATTTTTTAATCTGATTGAATTTCTGATTGAAATTTAATTGATTAACGCCCAACACTGACCTCAGGCTAGCTGCACTAGGCGCCAGTTCGCATACGTCAAAAAGAGGTACTTAGAACTCTGCGGAATCTAGATGTGTATAAAGCTAGCGGGCCAGATGGAATTCCAGCAATAGTCCTGCGTAACTGTGCGCCTGAGTTGTCTCCTGTTCTCACACGACCTGTACCTCTTCTCACTTGAGACTGGTGCAGTTCCCAGGTTGTGGGAGATTGCAAACGTGCAACCTGTGCCAAAAAAGGGAAGCGAAGCTGATCCTGTCAATTATAGACGTATCTCAGTCACTTCCATACTCTGCAAGACTATGGGACGTTTACTCAACAACCGTCTCCTGTCATACCTTGACAACGACCTCCTCAGTGATCGCCACTACGGATTCCGACGAGGGCGATCTACTGGAAATCTTCTTGTGTATGCCTGCAATTGGATCTCGGATTTCTGCAACTCTCTTTCTGCTACATATCAATGATATGTTAATTCCAAGTACCTTTGCCTATGCTGATGACAGCATTTGTAGATAGGTATTTGACCAATGCGAGGGTCAGTGGAGAGGAAATACTGTCTTGTCGAGAGTCTATGGTTAGCCGTTTGGATTTGACGCTCAAGGCAGTCTCCGATTGGAGCGATGCCAATCTTGTCAAATTTAACGCTACCAAAACGCAGGCGTGTGTCTATTCTCCACAAAACGGAGTCCCTTTGAGCTGACTCCGACTTTTCGTGATATATCCATACCGATAGCCGACTGTCTCCAGTTACTTGGAATGGACCTGTCGTCCAATTTGAACTTGGGCAGATATATTGAATCAATGGCCAAAAATGCAGTAAGGAAGCCTGGCATCCTTTCCAGGGTGCGTTACTTTACACCGGGACAGTTGCTTCAACTGTACCAAGCACAAGTCTGGTCGTACATGGAGTACTGGTGCCACCTTTGCGGTGGCTCTGCTACATACCAACTGGCCACTTTGGATTCAATTGTCAACCGTGCCAAGATGCTTATAGGTGACTCAGAATTAGTAGAGGCGAAGCTGCAGAGCCTTGAACACCGTCGTAAAGTTACCTGCTTATCGGTATTTTATAGGATATATCACGGAGAGTGTGCGAGAATTACACGATGTAATTCCTCCTTCCCCTTTCGATCACCGGGGGACTAGGCGTAGGCTTGGGTTCCACCCTTATGTTGTGGATATTCCAAAGACTCGCACGAAGCGTTATGCTTCCATATTTATATGGTGAACGGCTATGGAGTGGAATTCCCTGCCTGCAAACTTGTTCCCTGAACGTGCATAATTTGGCCTTTTCAAGGCGAGAGTGCATAGCCATTATTTAGGTGAGTATGCTCCATCATAGACCTCATCGTCACTTTCCATCAAGTGAGATGGAGGTCAAATGCGCACTTATAACCTATAAAAAAAAATAACAAAAGACTTAAAATTTACGAATCCTATCGAGTTCCTAGGTTGCGCGATTGATAATTCTTTTTGTTTATTTTTTTTAATAAACCAACGTTTTAGGCTCGTTGCAAGTCCCTTGGTCTCGGGTAGCAGTCAGTCGGTATACGCAGTCAAAATTTACTATACATATACAGGGTGTCCCGGGACGCGACGTCAAGCCGGAACGGGG